AATTATCTGTTTTAAAAAGTAATTAGCTAGGCTTACCCCAGCAGTGAATTTTGACATTGAACGCAGATACCTCATTTATGAGAATCTGAAATTGAAAAACAGAGTAAACATGGAGATGCTGCTTACTTCTGCCTTGCACACATTCTCCCTCTCCTGCCCCCACAAATGATAGGGGCACCTGCCCACCTTCTCCTTGTCTTCTGAGTCACTTTTCAGTGGTGCTTCTGCCATAACGGCATCCTCTTTGGTCTATTGGTATATGGATTTTTCAACAATTATAGATAGTAACATTGCTACTTAAAAAAAAGTCTTACTTAGAGCTCTCATTTCTGGATATTTCTGTCCAGTCACTCAAAATTTCAGCTTACTGTTCAATCATTGAATCACTTATTTATCAGCAATAGGTGTTGCCTGTCTGCCTTAGGCCGGGGATGCTGGAGATTGAGAGACAATGACTTAAACTCTGCATGGAAAACATCATAAGGTAGTTACAGTCAGGTATGAAAACCAGCAATCACAGTGAGAACTAGAAAGGGCTTTGTTACAGCTAGGCTTGTACAACATCACAGGGTCACAGAGAAAAGGCATCAAAGGTGGGCCAAGCAGGCAAGGGAAGGTATTCTCCTCAGCTGAGTCTCAGTGAGGAATAAGTTGGCCAGAAAAAGGGAGGAGCAGGTGTGAAGAAAAGCAAAAGTAAAGCTAAAGCTAGAAGTATAGGCAAGAACAAGATAATGAGGGAAACTGGAAATACTGGGAAGCATAGACAGGCTTTAGATAGGGCATATGACATCCTAAGAGTGGTGCTTTAAGATCTCCTCTGTGACTGTATGGAGCGTAAACCTAGAGAAGGGCAGAAACAGAGAACAGTGGAGAGCTGTGGAGTCATGCAGGCAAGCTCTACTCTGACGAGTGCCTGAACCAAGACACCAGCAGTGCAGTAGGTACACATGCTGCTGGGGAGATGAATTCTACAGGACTTGATGCCTGAGTGGATGTATGAAATAAGAAACGTGAGAAGTCTAAATGGCTCCCTGGGATAAGGTTGTGGTGACTTCTTGGCCACAGCCAGCTACTCGAGGGAGTGAGTAGTTGGACCTGTGGGCTTGGGACCCTGGTCACAGGGGATATCAAGCTCAATTAGCATAACATACTACACAAAAGCATTGTTCTACATCCTCCTTTGGTGAGTAGTGACTGGAGTCTTAAAAGCTTGCAAGCAGCTATCTAGATGCAACGATGGGTCTCTCCTCATCCAGAGCAAAGAAGAATGAAGAAAACCAAAGATGCATGAAAACAATTAGTCCAAGTGACTGGTAGACCATGAATCCTCAGCCTATATATATATGACCATGAGATCAGAACTACATGGTGCCTGGCTACCACTGTCAACCACTTGGAGGGGGACTGGTGCAGGAGATCCTGGATAGAGTGGGAGAACAATGTGGAACAAAACTCAAAATCATAAAAAAAAAAAGACCAGGTTTGCTGGTCTGATGGAGCCTGGTGAGACCCCTGAGACTATGGCCCCTAACTACCTTTCATGGCTGGAACTGAACTTACTCCTGTGGCTTTCAGCCAAATAATAGACAAGTATATGGGCTGAACATTTCCATCAGGTAGGTAGATAGACTACTTGGAGCAGTCAATTATAGGAGAACAGAAGAGCAGTGTACGCACAGGGAGACAGCTGGGGGGTGGGGGGCAGTGCATGGGAGGGAAGGACCCAAGGAAGGGGTAACTTACAGGGAGGAATTGGGAAGAGAGCTGTTACATTGTGGGGAATTGCAGTCAATGTCATGAGATAAAATGTGTATGAACTGCTGTGTGGAAAATGAATTTGCTCTGTAAACTGTCACCCAAATCACAATAAAAATTTTAAAAATAAAATAGCTCCCTGGCTTCTAGGTTGAGCAACTGAGTAGAAAGTAGTGTCAATCTCTGAGATAGGGAATGCTGGAAGATGGCCGTTTCAGGGGTGGAGTGAGGCTAGGATCATTAGTTAAGATTGAACCATGCTAAGTATTAGGTGTGTATGAATATCCAAGGGGAGATCTCTGTTGACAGTTGACTATTAGAGGCTGGAGCATGGTAGAGATGTGTGGGCTAGAAAGGATATTTGGAGTCATCAACATATGGGCCCACTGCATGGTTGTTTGACAAGTACAGTCACACAGGCCCTTCTCAGAAGGGTCCACACTTCATTTAATACTCTTTTGTCACTGTCTTGGAATTCATCATAATTTTTGAGTTGGAGCTTGGAAGCTAGGATTAGGAAGCCAAGTAGAGTAAAGGAAGAAAAGAGTTAAGACTAGCTTTAAGCAAAATTTTGAAAGAGAAGGTTGCCTCTGGAATCTATCAGATATTGACTTTCTCCTCAGGGTCTCAGGACCCTTCTTGCTATTTTAAGACTAGCCCCTAGCCTAGACCTTCCTGATCCCCTTTCAAATTCTCTATATTTCTCAATCTTCTATCAAAATCCCCACTCCCTTATTGTAATTATTCTCAGCCGATAATTATGACAAAAGCAATTTCAATTAATTTATACTAATTTGTGAATGGTGGATAGCATCTTTCTTGAAGGTAATTACATTGTAAAAGTGGCTCTGGATCTGTAAGAAGGGATCTGTGATTTCTCATATTTTAGGTGGCCTAGTAGAAGATACTCAGATACAAATATTACTACAAGAGGCATCCTTTTTCTAGTGTCAGCTCCTGTAAACTTTTCCAGTTTCTCACAGCTTCTACTATATTTTCTCCTACACTCATAAATTCTCTGAAGCCCCCAAGATTGTTTTGCTATCTCTTTCCCTGTCTGCACCCCCACACACACTCCACTTGTTTCTATGACAGCAGCAACTGGGGCACAGGTGGTGAGGGACAGGGGGAGGGGTCACGACAGCTGCAGCCATTTATATGGATTGTTTATAAGTCAGGGGCTGCCTTTATGGTGGGGTGAAGGGGTGTCGCCAAGGGGCTTCTGGTCATAAAGAATGTACCTTTCCCTAGTGTAAACCATGAGAGCCCAGCAGGCATTGGCCAGGGCTGAGCACGTTAAAGGCATTTCCCATGTTTATGGGCCTTTATGGAGAAATGTGTCAGACTGCAGGTCTCTGCAGGTGCCAGGGAGCTGTTGGGTTCAGATGGAATGCAATTCCCCAAGCCACTTCCATTTGTCATAGAAATGGCAGTGTTCCGCCACAACCAATCAATAGCTGGAAAGTGGCTGTCAGGAACCATTGGAAACCAGAAGGTCTGAGAACAGAAGACACCACTGGGAATAGGCCTAGGAAAGATTGCTCCACAGTTATCGATTCTGCAGCCTCTCCTTTAGGCATCAGCTTTGGAGAATGCTTTTCTCTCAAAAGTCCTTGAGTCTGCAACAGCTCTTGGGCACATTTCTGAGCTGTGTGTGAGTTTCCTGTGCTTTAAGATAAGATTGGCTTTTCCTAGCCCTAAGATATTACCCTAGAGAAGATGGATTCTAGGCCAAACAAGCTCAGATTTTAATATGCGTATGATCACCTGGGGATCCTATTAAAATGCAGATTCTGATACAATTAAGTCTGGGGTGGACTTGAGATTGTGCATTTCTAACAAGCTCCCAGGTGAAGTCAGTGCTGCTGGTCCGTGGGCACTTTGTATAAAATGTGTAGAGCTGCACTAATAATACATTAGCCACTAGGCATGTGTGACTATTTGAATTTTAAGTTAAATAAATTAAGTGAGATTAAAAATTCAATTGCTCAACTGCACTAGTCACAGTTCAGGTACTCAAGAGCCACATCTGGCTGTTACTAGTTGCGATCAAGTCAATTTCAACCCACAGAAATCTCGTGTGACAGAGTAGATCTGCCCATAGGGTTTTCTAGACTAATCTTTAGGGGAGCAGATCGCCAGGTCTGGGTGCATTCAAACCACCACCAACCTTTCTCTTAGCAGCCCAGTGCTTAACAGTTACTTCAGGACTCCTTCACATCTGGCTAGTAGCTCCCATTTGGACAGTAAATGAAAAACATTTCTATCATCACAGAAGGTTCTGTTGGATAACACCGGTGTAGGGTGAGCTGCATCATTCATTCATTCATTCATTCATCCATTTATTCACTGAGCATCTGTTATGTGCCAGGTATTGTGCTCAGTGCTGGGATGTTAAGACTAAGCTAGCAGAAGAGGTAAACACACACTAAGTAGAATGTGATGTGATTAAAATAGAGATGGCTATACCATTGTGAGAAGGAGCCCTGGTGGTGCAGTGGTTAAACATTTAGCTATTAATCTTGGGTTGGCAGTTTGAACTCACCAGGGGCTCCACTGGGAAAAAGACCTGGCAATCTGCTCCAGTAAAGATCACAATGTAGGAAACCCTCAAACAAAAAGCAAACTCACTGCTGTCGAGTCAAATCCGACTCATAGCAGCCCTTCCTTGGGTTTCCGAGGCAGTATCTCTATGGAAGTTGATTACCCAATCTTCCTTCCAAGGAATGGCTGGTGGGTTTGAACCACCAGGTTTCTGGTTAACAGTCAGATGCCTTAGGCACTATGCCACCAGAGCTCCCAAGGAAAGCCTATAACCAAAAAACCAAACTCACTGCTGTCAAGTCGAATCTGACTCATAGCAACTCCTCCTTGGCTTTCCGAGGCAGTATCACTACAGAAGTAGATTGCCCAGTTTTCCTTCCGAGAAGTGGCTGGTGGGTTTGAACCACCAGCCTTCTGGTTAGCAGTCAAATGCTTTAGGTACTACACTACCAGAGCTCCTAGGAAACCTTATAGGGTAAAGTCTGTCATATAGGATAGCTGTATGTTGGAATCTACTAGATGGCACACACCAGTAACACCATGGTGAGAGGTCCGGAATTGAAAACAGTGAATTCTTCCATGTGGATTAGAGAGAGAATGCCTCTGGGGCATTTCATGTGTGGTCTGAACCAAGCTATGGCTATCACAGAATTTGGATACTTATATGATTGACTGTTGATGATGCATTTTCCCCATTTCAGGGCCATAATCATCAAAAGTGGAGAAATCATCCCCATGTCTTCAGAGTTCACCCCCGAGACTGAGCGCCAACGACTTCAGTACCTGGTAAGAGTCCCTTAGGCTTTGCAGACCGAAATGACAGCAGGGATGGTGTCGGAGCTGTTTTGGAAGAATACGTTGCTGTTGACATGGAGCAGGCCCATAGCAGTCAAATGACATATGGTATTAACTCCCACACACACACCTTCTGGATCATACATCTTGGCTCCGGGAGTGACGACACACTCCACCTCCGTGAATTTATTATTGTGGCTGATTCTCTCCCATCTGTGACCAATTGAAGACATGGTGTGCTCTATTTCTTTTAATGGTTTGAGATTTATGACGTGAAATGCAGTTTTGAAGACCTCAGATACCTTCCTCCCAGGCCTGCCACACCTTTCACTCAAACAGAGGGGATCAGTATGAACCACATTGTGAGACAGAGCCTTTGCCAGGCATGGTGTCTCTGAGTTCTCTGCTGATACCCCACTCTTTCATGCTCAGCTAAGAAGTCTGAAGGGCCCTTTGGGAGAAACGCAGTTGTTAAGAAAACCTGTATATACCCTGAAAATAAATTCTTGATATAGATTATCTTCTTTGGAGTGAAATTATGAGAGGGCTATGGGTGGGCTAAGTGAGCCCTGGTAGGTTGGAGATTTGAACCCACCACCTGCTCAGCAGGAGAAAAATGGGGCAATTTACTTCTGTAAAGATTTACAGCTTTGGAATTCCTGTGGGTCAGTTATACTCTGTCCTCTAGAGTCCCTATGAATCGGAATTGACTTGACGGCAGTGGGTTTGCATTGGTTTTTAGTTTATAGGAGAGTTGTTTGACTTTTCAGATCTTGAGAACTTTTTGCTTCACTGGCAGATTTGAGTTTTTTGGGAAGAAGGATTTACTTCCTCATCCCCAAATTCCAGGGGCCGGGCTTTAGGCTTAGAATTCCAGTTAAAAGTGACTTTTGATAGTCCTTGTAGATTACCATCTTTGGCATTTTTGGAAACTAACCCTGTGAAATAGGAGCTCTGGTAGCGTAGTGCCTAAGGCACTTGACTGCTAACCAGAAGATTGGCGGTTCAAACCCACCGGCCACTCCTCCGAAGGAAGATGGGGCAATCTACTTCCTAGTGATACTGCCTCAGAAACCCACGGAGGGGTTGCTATGAGTCAGGTCTGACTCAGTGGCACATACAACCCTGTGAATAGTAGTTTTGTGGATTATTTTGATCGATCAATTAATTGATTGATTGCCAGCTGGCTTTCTTCTTAGACAGTATAGCTAAAGTAGGGACCCTCTGCTCTTAGGACAGAATTGATCCTGGCTACTCAAGAGGGACATTGTTCATGACTCTGAATTTCTGTATGAGTGAATGGTCAATATTTGATTACTTTACTTGATTTATAAAGTAGCTGAGCACTTTACCTCTATAGTTTCCCTCTCCCTTGTCTGTGTTTTAACTTGTTTTACTCTGTAACTAAGCTTTATTGCATCTGGTAGTTACCTGGTACGTAAGACAGCAGGAATCCAAAACTAATGTCAAAACAGTGCTTTGAACACTTCTTTACCCTTTCACCTGCTGTTGCTTTCAAACCAGGCAAGGAACTTGAAGCCACTATGAGGCAACCTAGACTTTAGCTCTCGTCATTCTTCTTTGGCAGTCTAGACAGTCGGTAGGGAGCCTGTGACAGCCAGCAGATCTTCATTCCAGTAATACCAGCTGTGTTACTCACTGGCTAGGTGGCTTTGGAAGGAAATTCTCTGAGGCTGGAGCATGGGATGCATGGTGGCAGTGGTGCGGCAGCTGAGATGATGCTATAGAGGCCTTACTTTGTTATGTGAAATGGAGAACTACACCAGAGGGTTACCAAGAGCATTTGAGGTACAAGGGTCCTTCCAAGTAGAGCTCAGAACAGCTGGTCCTGCCACCTTCTGGCTTTCTCCACCACTCCATCTTCCATGTTGTTGTTGTTTGCCATTGAGTCGGACCTGACTCATAATGATCCCTCCTTGGGTTTCCGAAGCAGTATCACTACAGAAGTAGATTGCCCAACCTTCCTTCTGAGGAGTGGCTGGTGGGTTTGAACCTCCAGCCTTCTGGTTAGCAGTCAAGTGCCTTAGGCACTATGCTACCAGAGCTCCTCCATCTTCCATAGGACACCAAAATGATCTTATCACAGACCTTATGATTCCCAGGCTAAAAAACCTTTGGCTCCCACAACCTACAGACCAAAGGCCACACTTCTTGCCAGACCCAGAATCATGGTCCCTGCCCACCTCGCCAACAGGCAAGATGCCTTTACCATCCCTGCTTCCACTATACCCATCTTTATCACCTGCCCTTAGTGAAAACTATTTCTCATTCCCTTCTAGAAGCAATAAGTAATAACAGGTTAACTATTTTCACTTTTTATTCTGAAATATTTTCACACTTTGAAGCTACAAGAATGACAGGAAGAGCTCAAAAGGTTAACTTTTACAGATGACTGAGAATGCTGAAAATTTTCATATTCCTAAATATTGGAGTAGGTTCTCTGGGTGGTGCAAGTGGTTTGCACTTGACTACTAACAGAACAGCAGGTGATTCTGTTCCACCAAGTGGTGCCATGGAAGGATGGCCTGACAGTCTACTTCTGTAAGGAACACAGTTCTACTCTGACACACATGAGGTCATCATGAGTTGGAATCAGCTCTATGGCAACCTGTGTATTTTAGGATGGTTGGAATAAGATGTGTTTGGATTCAGTTCTCAGCATTGTCCCAGAACTGTGTGTGTGTCAGGAGTCTAAGAGTGTATGCTTTGAAATAAGCAAATCTGGTAATATGATTCACATGATCTTTAAGATGAATATTTATGGCAAAGTATATCACCAGGTTGGGAGGTTTATAGCATAAAATCTTAAAAATAACACCAACTGTGAAGGGAACAGGAGTATGAGGTGGGTTTCTCTCAGTCCACGCCTCTCATCAGCTGTGTGGCCTTGAGCCCTTAACTTGATGTCTTTGAACCTTCTCATGAAATGAACATTCCCTGAGATATTCATAGCATGCTTTGAAACTTGAATGAAAAATAATCCTATGGTAATGTAAAATGCAATATTGTTGTTGTTATGTGCTGTCGAGTTGGACCCGACTCATAGTGACCCCTCCTTAGGTTTCTGAGACAGTATCACTACTGAAGTAGATTGCCCCATCTTCCTTATGAGGAGTGGCTGGTGGGTTAGAACTGCCAGTCTTCTGGTTACCAGTCAAGTGCCTTAGCCACTATGCTACCAGAGCTCCCAAAATGCAATATACTATCTCATAATTTTACATATGTCTTATCTTCCTTGTGGTAGTTCAGTTTGTGTGTCAACTTGGCTGGGCCTGGTTGAGTGGCTGGGCAGCTGGATGTAGTATTCACAGTGATGAGACTGGTAATCAACTCCATGGTGGAATCTACTGTGAGCAGCTGAGTAGCTGCCTTAGCTATGTGGTCCACTTCCTGTATATAGGCAGAAGCCTTGGTGAGTAGTCTCTAGCTTATGGCATGCTTGAACCCTTCATGCAGCCATGTCATTCTTCAGCAGTCTGCCATGCTCTGCTGACCTTGGGACTTTAAATGGACTTGAATTAATGGCCTGCCGTGTAGTTTGGTAACATCTGGACTGTGCCTTTTTACTTGTCAACCTTTGGCTTCTCAGTCTCAGTAACGAGTAGCTGAGTGAAGAAATGCCTCTAGCTTCAGTGGGCCAGAAGCAGGAGACAGAGCTGGATCCCATGGTTGAGGGGCTTTTACCCAGCCCCTAGAGCATGACACTTTGAACTTGGACTTGTTGTTGTTGTTGTTGTTGTTGTTGTTGTTGTTATGTACCCTCGAATCGAACCCAACTCATAGTGACCCCTCCTTGGGATTCCGAGGCAGTATCACTACAGAAGTAGATTGCCCCATCTTCCTTCCGAGGAGTGGCTGGTGGGTTTGAACCACCAGCCTTCTGGTTAGCAGTCAAGTGCCTTAGGCACTATGTTACCAGAGCTCCCAAACTTGGACTTAAAGCCTCCAAATTGTAAGAATAAACTCCTGTTTGTTAAGCCCATCCCATTTGTGCTATATATTCCTGTCAGAGCAACACTAGATAGCCAGAAAACTGCTGATTCTTTTTTTTTTTCCTGAAACATTAGTTTCCTTGAACACATTGTTAAACCGCTCAGTGCAATGATAGTTACAGTATCCTTTTTCTTTACCTGATCTAAATCAGTACATCCTTAACTGACAATGTATTCTTTACTCTTAAATCAAATTTTGTTTTGATGGTGCATGGAGAAACATTCATGATAGAAGCATGAAAACTTCTCGATCCCTAGCCATTTGCTTGGAGCAGATGTCTGCAGTGCTGGGGCTGTTTGACGTATAGAAATGGTTAATGATTTTCTTGAGGGTTGGAGGGTGGTCAAAGTCTTCTGTACACGAATCGTTTTGATCTGCATTGGAGAGGAATGTTCTTGATATACACAGACTGGGACATTTGGAGATTGTGGAACTGAAAGCAGTTTACAAGATGATGGATGTGGTGGGCAACTTAATTTCGTTTGGTATTGTGTCCTGACCTCAGAGACCCTTTCATGCGGCTCCCTGAGTAATGTGAACTTTGTTTCATAGGTCCTCAGGCACAGTGATTAATGGAGCAGGCTTGAAGGTTTGACGTGTTCACACAGAATGTGGCAGGTGTGTAATGAGTGGGTCAAGGGCTGCGCACTTCTGCCCCGGCAGCCAGGGAGAGCTGATGAGCTTTTAGTCATGAATAAGCCTTCCTCTTCTATTGCTGGGCTGCTTTTTTAGTGTTTCCAAAACCAAAAAACCAAACTCACTGTCATCAAGTCAGACCCGACTCATAGTGAGCCCTCCTTGGATTTCCGAGGCGGTATCACTTACAGAAGTAGATTGCCCAACCTTCCTTCCAAGGAGTGCCTGGTGGGTTTGAACCTCCAGCCTTCTGGTTAGCAGTCTGATGCCTTAGGCACTACGCCACCAGAGCTCCTTTAATGTTTGCAGGATGGTTGAAACCAAATATTTAAAGAGGTCCT